AAAATCTTCACTCAATTCGAGCTATAATTGAGACTATTGAAAAGAGTTGGCCCTTCATTAGCAAAAGGAAAGAATCCAGTATTGATTAAATATACATATTTACAAATTAATTTTTACAATAATATTTGCAAGATATCCCTTAACTCTTCAAAATCCTCCATTACCCTCCAGTTAAGGTTTAAGGTAATGTTATACCATAAAAGCGTCAAAAATTATAAAGAAAAGTTAATGCCTGCTTTTTACTTCCTTCTACAAGTAAAAAGGAAGTATTGTAATCGCGAAAAGTTTCAGGCAGCATATTTCAACGAAAATATCCATTTTGACCGCTATCGAATGCAATTTAACGATGCATTTGCGTGATTTCTGTACGTAGGACAGAATAAAAAGATTCGTTTCCTCAAAAAAAAAAAAAAAAAAAAAAAAAAAAAAAAAAATATATATATATATATATAAAACTGCTTTAAAATTAATTCTGAAGAGAATTTTTCGTCGCGTCTGAAAACGAACGTATGTGTTGACGCCAAAGGCGCAATCTGTGAAAATATGTAATATTTGTGTTCTAAAACCATGATGCTGATGTTTTTATAGCGCCACCTTGCGGCCACTTGTATTGAGTTTTGAGTGTGTTCTGAGACGCCGCCAAGAGATGTGAACTAACTATGCGGCTTTTTGAGTAATTAATAAATTTTAGTATACAGTCCCTTTTTGAGTTTTGTGTAAAGTGATTTATTTAATTATGAGTTTTACTGAGCTATTGACGGGCCCATTATTGGTCCTTACCAAACCGGAGATCGAATTGTGTGTCAAAGTCGTAAGATAAGTGTTATGGAAGAAAACTTATGGATTACTCTTAAATAGAAGGTACGTGGCCTTATTGTAATAACTGTGTAATTGAAAAAGTAGATTCAAATGTTTTTAAAAGTGCAAAAAAAGAGATTATCAGCGTATTGCTGTGTAGGCTGAATTTAGACATTTCAGAAGAAGAAAAACTATATCAGATTTAACTGATATAATTAAAAACAGTGAAAGCTATAAGAAGGATCCTGTATTAGTTGAAGGTATAGCTAATAATGTTATCGATGAACGGAAAAGTGACGAGAGCCGTTTGCTCGAAACTTGAGAATTGAAAACGGAACGAGCGAAATCGGAGCTAGAACTCGCGAAGTTGCGAGCAGAATCAAAGAGTGGAAAACCTCATAAAATATGAGAAAAGAGAAAATGTAGAATCTCTTGACTCTCTTATTAAAAGTATACGCACAATTAACAACTAAAATTCCAATTAGATCGGAAGGTTGGAGTTATTTCTTTTCATCGTTAGAAAGGGCGTTCATTTCAAAAAGTGTTCCAGAGAAATTTAAATCGGAAATTCTTCGAAATTGTTGGGAGAGAAAGCCACAAATGTTATTACATACACTAAAGACGACGAATTAGGAGATTATTCTAAGGCTAAAGAAATAGTACTAAGAGAGTTTCGAACCATCACCCCAAATTGTTTAGAAAATTTTAGGAAGACACACGAATTACGAATGAAACTTATGTGCAGTTCGCGTCTAGAGTAACCACGAGCTGGGATTATTATTTGAAACTGAGAAAGGTAATGACTTTGGAACATTAAAACAATTAATGATTTCTGATAAAATATGTCAAACTTGATTAAAGAGGTTATGTGTTTTATAAATGTAAGGCAAGGAAATTCTTGGTTTAAACCTGTGGAATTGGCGAAGGAGATAGATTATATTATACATCAAAGGGAAAACCTGTAGTGGATAATTCTAGATTGAGTAATAAAAAAAGTTATCCTAAAAATATGTCAAAGGTTTTTCTAACTGATATAAAAATTTGAAATGTATTTTATCATGCAATGAAATTCATCCTTTGTCCAAATACCCTGTTTATAAAAACATGACAGTTAGCGATAGAGTTGGGCTAGTGAAATCGAAACAGCTGTGTTTCAACTGTTTAGGAAATCATAAAGTGATTAATTGCAGCAATAAATTCTCTTGCGGTATTTGCAAAAAGAAACATTACGTGACACTCCATTTCCCTCGCGAACAAAAAATAAACAAAGACATAGTTGCGCAGGTGGTGAGTCATGAAAATAAAAATATTCCTTCGAATTTGGACGCTTCGGCGCCATCATTTGAACCTCTGCAAGCTAAAACGAGTACTGATCAAAATTTGTTATCAACAACGTGCAATCTCGCGAATGAAATAAAAGCTGTCTTACTCAGCACTTTTGTTTGTTTAATTAAAGATGCATCGGGTAACTTTTTTAGGGTTAGAGGTTTGTTAGATGTCGGCGCTAATTCAAATTTTATGAGCAAATGGTTAGCAGATTTGCTTCAATTAAAGGGAGAAAAGACTAACATTTCTGTTTCAGGAATAAATAATTTGTCTCTGAATATAAAATCTAGAGTTAATGCAACTATTTTAAATCTATTTTAAATAGAGACAAGAGTTTCGATTTAAGTTAAAATTTTTTGGTGATTCCTAAAATAACAGAATATACGCCCTCTAGGCCTCTTGAAATTAATGTTTCATCTTTAGATAATATCAATTTAGCAGATGACAAATTTCTTGAGCCAGGCCCAATTGAATTTCTGATAGGTGCAGAACATTTCTATGAGCTTTTAAAACCGGGTCAAATTTCCCTTCAGGATTCAAATTTAAGATTACAAATAGTGTTTTCGGCTATGTTGTAAGTGGGACTCTTTCTGCTAAAGGGGAAAGTAAATTACATTGTGGGGTTATTACAGATAATTTTGAGTTAGAAAGAGCAGTAAGAAAGTTTTGGGAAATCGAAAACGTAGAAAGAGAGTCTGAGATTTCTAAGAGTAAAGAAGCAGAAATTTGTGAACAGCATTTTCTCAAAAACTATTCTAGGACTGAAACCAGAAAATATGTAGTCAAGATACCGTTTAAGGAAGATCTAATGTGTTTAGGGAATTCGAAACAAATCGTGCTTGAGAGGTTGAACTCGTTGTGAACTCGTTTAATAAGGATGAAATTATTTATTATTGTACTCTGATTTTCTACATGAATACAGTGAACTAGGTCACATGACTGAAGTGAAGATGAAGATGAGCAAGAGGGGAAGTATTATATTCCACACCTTGGCATTTATCGCCCTGAGAAAAGTTCGACACCTTTGAGAGTAGTGTTCAATGCTTCAACTTCAACGTCAAAAGGTAACTCACTGAATTCAATTCAGTATAATGGTGGTGTAATTCAAGAGGACTTGTTTTCAATTATGGTACGTTTCCGAAAACATATTTATGCTTTTACAGCGGATATCAAAAAGATGTACCGAATGATATCAATTCATCCTACTCAAAGGCAGCTACAGAGAATTTTGTGGAAAGAGTCAATTAATGGTCCAGTTAAAACTTTTGAATTGAACACAGTCACCTATGGCACAATAAGTGCACCTTTTTTAGCCATGAGAACATTACGTCAGCTTGCTATAGATGAGTTCACAAATTTTCCATTAGCAGCTGCAGTTCTACAGAGTGATTTTTACATGGATGATGTTCTAACAGGGTCCAGTTCATTGAGTTCGGCAAAAGAGCTACAGCGTGAATTAATTGAGATTTTAAAAAAAGTGCAACTATGACTCTGCACAAATGGTGTAGCAACAATCCGGAACTTGCAGTTAACGTTGATGATGAATACACATTTCAGTGCGCGAATGAAGTGTCAGCCTTTGGTGTTTCCTGGAAAGCAGATAAAGATTGTTTTAATTTTAAAGTGAAACTAGAAAATGAGTCTAAAAATTACTAAAGGCAAGTTAGTTTTATCAACAATAGCGAGAATCTTTGACCCACTTGGTTTATTGGGTCCCGTGATAGCTAAAGCTAAAATATTTCTTCAGAGACTATGGGTTTTGAAGCTCAATTGGGACGATCATCTACCTGATAAAGAAGCCAAAAAATGGCAACGGGTTTTCTCTGAACTACCACAAATATGTAAATTAGAAATTAACAGATGCATTCTTGTCGCAGAAGCAATTGTTATTGAATTACACGGATTTTGTAATGCCTCCGAGTTAGCTTATGGAGCTGTAGTTTATTGTAAATCCATCTCCCAATATGGTGAAGTGGTGATAAGGCTGGTAACAAGTAAATCAAAAGTTTCTCCTATAAAGCAAGTTACTATACCAAGATTAGTTATGCGCAGCTGTATTGCTTGCGAAGTTAATGACTCGAGTAATATCTGCTCTGAAACTTAATGTGAATAATGTATTTTTCTGGAGTGACTCTTCGATAGTTTTGGCTTGGCTGAAAAAGGAGCCCTGTTGTATGAAAACGTTTGTTGCTAATCGAGTTACGGTGGTTCAAGAAATGACGGAGGTGCGACAGTGGCATCACGTCCCATCTAAACAGAACCCTGCGGATCTCATATCAAGAGGTGCTGATCCGGTCACACTTCAACTGTGTGAACTGTGGTGGAGTGGTCCCCCATTTCTTCTTCAACCTGTGATGACTAAGTGCCAAGATGATATCCCTGAGGAGTCCGAAGAACTGTATCTTCGCGAATTAAAACCACCAGCAGTAAGTGAAATATGCGCACTTATTAACACTTATGAGCCATTAGATGTCATGAATAATTGTTCATCTTACAACAAATTGCTAAGAGTAGTGGCTTGGTGCAAGAGATTCTTGCATAACACCAGGCATCCATTGCATGCTACACGCGGAACGTTGACAACCAGTGAACTTTCTAGTGCGTTATTGTGTATTGTGAAAAACGTTCAAAGGACTTTATTTGTGACAGAAATCCAGTGCTTAGAAAAGGGTTCTCCTATTCCTAATAGTAGTAAACTATTGAATTTGTGTTCATTTTTAGATCATGAAGGAGTACTCAGTGTGGGTGGCAGACTGAAAAACAGTGACTTAAGTGAAATGAGAAAACATCCTATGATTCTGCCAACTAAAAATAATTTTACTATAATTGTGATTAATCATTTTCATGTTCTTTATTTTCATGCAGGTGCTGAAACAACCCTATCACTTATAAGGAGTAAATTTTGGATTGTTTCTGCAAGAAATTTAATTAGAAAAATTTATATTTAATTGTATAATTTGTAAAAAGGTAAATTCTAGGTCTGTGCAGCAACAGATGGCTGACTTACCAGCTGCGAGAGTGACCATATCAAGAGTTTTTGCAAAAACAGGACTCGATTTCTGTGGTCCATTTCTAGTAAAACATTTTGTAGGTAGAAGTAAACAGGTAAGAAAAGTATTTGTATGTATTTTTGTATGTTTCACTACGAAGGCCTTGCACTTTGAAATTGTTAATGGTTTAACAAGTGCAGCATTTATAGCAGCACTTAAACGCTTTATTGCCAGGCGAGGTAAACCCTCAGATATTTTTAGTGATAATGGCAGAAATTTTGTGGGTGCTCATAGAGAATTAAGAGCGATTTTAAAATCTTTATTTAAGGATAAAAGTGAGGAAGAAATCAAAGGTTATTTGGCTACTGAAGGCATAAATTGGCATTTTAATCCTCCCTCTATTCTTTTAATCCTCACTTTGGAGGTTTATGGAAAGCTAGTGTGAAATCCCTTAAATATCACTTGAAACGTGTGGTGGGAAAAACAATTCTAACTTATGAAGAATTTTTTACTCTGGTTGTTCAATTGAATCTGTACTTAATTCTCGCCCTCTTTGGTCCCATATCAAATGATCCAAATGATGTAGAGGCATTGACACCTGCTCACTTTTCTTATTGGTTCATCTTTAATTGCATTGCCTGAACCTAATTTTACAGAGATTCCTATAAATCGGATAACTAGATGGCAAATGGTTCAAAAATTAAATCAAAAGGAAAAATGGTCATCTGAATATTTAAACAACTTTTAATAGACCTAAGGTATAAAGGAAAGAGAAAGAAGGAAGGAGATTTATTTAGTAAAAGATTCGGATAATTACTCCAAAATTAAAAGACGCTCCCTATTGTGTTCGCTACTCCAGAAGACACAACTAAAGAAGATCTTACGACAGCGTTTCGTGAAGCACTCGGGCGCTACTCAAACGAAGGTATACACCCAGCACGCTCCTTCAAGAGTAAACTGGGTCTCACGAATTGGATCGTAGAGTTTGATGTTCACATTATAGATAAAGTCCTTTCACTCAGAAGTGTCTATATCTTGGCCTAAGTTCCTGTGCTGTAAAGGAATATCATCGCATTACGCGTTGTTTCAAGTGTCAAGGCTTTGGACACCTAGCCAGGTATTGTAGTGAAGAAATAGTGTGCAGCACTTGTGGGGGCGCCCACCGCCACACAGATTGCAGTGGTGATCTAACAATCTGTGTCAACTGTCAAAGGGCAAACGCTTCTCAGCAATTGAATTTAGATACAAAACACACAGCAAGTGACACGCAATGTCCCATCTACAAGCAGCATATGGAGCGTCTGATGCGTCGCGCTCAGGCGAACAATTAACTTCTCTATTGCTAACGAATTGCAAGGTATGATATTCGCCCAATGCAATCTGCAAAGGGCGCGAGCAGCTACATTAAATTTTGCTGATCTATTGGTAAGATTTAAGGCCACAGTCTCATTTATACAGGAGTTTTATACTAGTGGTGAATACATACCTGGTCTGCCAAGCACAGCTAAAATCTACTTGTCAACTTTAAAACTCGCAGGTTTGATTTATCATGGTCCATTGTCACCAGTTCTAATCCGACAAACCGGACATACAGTTACAATCCTTTTAGAACTACACACTTCCTCGCTAGCCCTCACGAGCGTCTATATGCCTCCCAGTGGTTCTATGGATGATCTTCTGCAGGAACTGAATCCTGATTTTCTTGCCAGATATCCGTTTCACATTATAGCAGGGGATTTTAATGCCTCGAGTTCTCTTTGGGGAGCACGGGGAGAAAATGAGAGAGGCCGGAAGGTTCTAGACTTTATCTCGGAAAGTCGGCTAGTTGTGATCAACTCTGAGGAGTCCCCTCCCACTTTCTTTACCACTAGGGCGGAGGGTTGGCCTGATCTGACTTTAGCTTCATCCCCACTAGCACATCTTATCAGCAATTGGAGAGTCAGTGATACGCCGACGTTCAGTGATCACAGGCTGATTCTCTTTGAACTGCAATTGCCGAGCATATATTACACACAGTATCGCTTAAAGACGAAATATGGCGGACATTCCAAGTTCATGCAACAGTGCAGGCTGATTTTGCCCCAGTACCTCAAAGGACTAGACAACTGTACAACTGGTAACGATTTGGACAGGATCTACGATAAATTAATACATGATCTAATGGCAGTTGCTCGGATGTCATACAAAAGGAAGAGATTGAAAATATCTGACTCTTTATCCTGGTGGAACGGCAAACTTACGGAGCAGAGGAGTAGAGTTAGGGCTTTACGCAGAAGAGCGCAGGCGGAAATAGACCCTGCTGCCAGGCAAAGTAGAATGCAACTTTACAGAATGGAACACGCCAGTTACAAAAAACTAATCATTAATAGCAAACTGGAAGCGTGGCAAAACCATTGCAGCAGAGTCATAGAGCATTATGGCAAGGTACAGAAAGTAGCCTGTGCGAAAGTATTTCGTCCACTACAGTTAGCAGCTTCGCAACTTGGCACCACTAGCGAAGAAATTTTGGGCAACATACTTGAAGCTATCTTTCGCAATGACACACAGGAGACAGACTCAGCACGACAGGCGGACATCAGAGAACACTATGATAACTGTAATTGGACTACCACTGAAAGTGACTCGAAGCTGCCAACGCCAAAAGAATTGCACAGAATAGTCAAGGCCCTAGTCAATAACAAGGCACCGGGCCCAGACGGCCTTGACAACATCTTAATCAAGGTTGTGCATCAAGCATGCCCAAAGCTCTTGGTTAAATTATGCGGCACATGTTGGAGACTGGGTCATTTCCCAACAACTATGAAAATAGCCGAGATAGTTCTCTTTCTGAAGGTCGGGAGGGGCCCCGATGATCCAAGATCCTACAGGCCTGTCAGTCTGCTACCAGCCATTAGTAAAAGTAGTTGAACGAGTAATACTGAGCAGACTCAATCATTTCTTAAGCAAAAGAAATATAATACACCAAGCTCAGTTTGGTTTTAAACAGGGTACTTCAACAGAGCATGCTCTGACCAGTCTGTTGGACACAATCAAGGATAACCGAAATAACGATCTGCACACAGCAGTCGTGTCAGTCGACATCCAAGGGGCATTCGATTCACTCTGGTGGCCAGATGTGATCGAATGTCTAGACCGAATTCAGTGCCCGATTGAAATCCTCAGGATTATTCGCAGCTATTTGTCTGATCGGCAAATACAGATAACAATGCCAAATGGCCAACTTCAACGACGACTGGTGCGTGGCTGTCCCCAGGGTTCATGCCTGGGCCCAGTCTTATGGAACCTGGTTGCCAACACGATATTTGATCTTTACAATGGTGATGAGACTGTCAAAGTCCAGGCATTTGCCGACGACTTTCTGCTTTTGGTCACTGGAAGACACAGACTGCAGGAGAATGTACAGCGAGCACTGAACCTCTTTGCACAATGGGCAGCCGATCACAAACTGGAAATTTCAGCGTCCAAAACTAACATTTTACTCATAGGGGGCGTAAAGGTCCACTGAGGCGGAATCCAACTATAAGATTATTAGGTCATCCAGTTAGGACTGTTTCCCAGTTGAAATATCTAGGTGTCATCATAGACAACCGCCTCAACTGGATTCCACATTTGCATCATATACACCAGAAAGTAGTATCTCTTACCAATAACATGAGACGAACTACTGGCATGTATTGGGGCATTAGACCACACATGTTGAAGATCTGGTATCGCACAATAACAGCGAGGGTGATTTTGTACGGGTCTTCAGCATGGGGAGGAGGAAACTCATGGAATTCATCTCAATGGAAACCTGAGGAGGAAACTCAATTCTATTCAGCGTCTCCAACTCCTCATGATTACTAAAGCTTATAGGACCAATTCGACAAATTCATTGCAGGTGCTCGCTGGGTTACCACCATTGGATCTTGTCGTGGAGAGGGAGGCTGGACAAGCACGGATCCTACGCATAAAGGAAGATTTTATCTTGTGGGGGGTACCCAATTACCGCGCTCGTGATTACGAGGATCATTCTCTAGGACATCCGGCGGACATAAATTATGATGACAAAGTCACCATAGAGCCCTTAATTCCGGCTAGGCACGAAATTTGTCTTTATACGGATGGTTCCAAAACGGAGCTTGGCACAGGTAGCGGCTTCTGCGTCATGCGAGGCAATACTATCTGCTACACTTGGTCACAGAGGCTGTCAGATTACAATAGTGTATTTCAGGCGGAACTTGTAGCAATTAAGGCAGCATTAGATTATATTAAGCAAAATCTAACAGGACCAGTCAGAATACTGAGTGATTCAGCATCGAGCCTACTGGCCATTAAAGAACTCAACAGCAAAGCGGATTCTGTCCACATTATTAGGGATGCTCTACTTCAGATTCCCGAGTCCCAACGACCGTACTTGAGCTGGGTTCCAGCGCATGTAGGCATTGCTGGAAACGAAGAGGCCGATAGGCTTGCTAAGCTAGCAGCTAACGACTTGAATATGCCTGCCTGTAACACCCCTAAAAGCACCAGTTTCCTATTTAAAAAAGATTACCGAACTCAAAATGTTTAGAAATTTGGCAACAGAGAGATGGAACAACTCCACCACAGGCCGCAGAACCTTTCGTTTCTTCCCCAAAGTTGGTCTGAATCTGGTCACTAGTAGTGCTCATCTTACACATTTCTTTACTGGACACAGGACCATTTCCAAGCTATTTACGGCGCTTCAGATTAGCTACTTGCAGACAGTTGTAGATGTGGAACACTAGGTGATCCGGATCACTTTGCTTTCGAATGCTCTCTCACGATACCATTTCATTTAAAAAAACCCTCTGAAGCACACTGGTCCGGGTGGTCAGATACCCTCAAGAGAAGTAAGCTCGCATTTAATCAGATTCATCGAGTAATGGACATTTGTGCTCGTGAATTCTGTTGAACAGCAGCAACAGCAGGCAATTCTATACCAACAACTTTCATAATTCTTACCTTACAAATTTGGTATCTTACTATATACGATAAATTCAACTACTGAAATTAGGACAATTTCAGAGACTAATGGCATGCCATTGTACCTATGTTACGTATATGCATGACAGCCATGTTTAGTGCAGTACATGAATAACTTTGCTGGAACATGTTACCTCCTAGATGCAGATTACCACAATCAATGTCTGTCTATTTGTACTTCAGTGTCGCTTCTATCCATTATTAATCTTTAAAATTTTATTGTGTTTACTTAATTTTTGTATTGTATTATGTGTATTTCAATTTACATATTGTCTTAGTGTATTGACCTGTTAGGTAGTAAGTGCGTTGTGTTATGTTTTCAAATTAAGTTTGCGGTATAATAGTAAATACATATATAGAGCTCTCGGCTAGTACCATGAAATATTGTGTGCAAATGTTTTGTAACAGTTTTCTAGTATTGTGCAAAATGCAACAGTTTCGAACAAATATTCGTGGCCG